TACTAGTATTATACACATTGTTCATTTGCTGCGACGATGACTTACTGGTATAGAAAAAGCAATTTTTGCTTCAACAGTTCGATTCGTTTTTCCTAAAATTATTATTTCTTGATATGGCAATCAAGTAACGAATGAGGAATAAAACCAAATATTTACATTCGAAATAGTTAAATTCCTATGGCGAACCATCCTTTTTCCAATGTATTTTGCCTAAGAGACACTACAGTTTACAATATCATCAATACTGAGGACTGAGACAATGCATCGAAAATGCTTTTAAAAGCTTTGAAACTCGCGTTTACTTATAAAATATTTGGCCGAACGCTTTACGAAATTGCCTGACTAAAGTAGAAACTTACGGAAGTATGTTTAAGGGAGACATTTCTTCTAGGATAATAGTCAGGTTGTAAAATATTGAAACTTCCTGTGTATTTTTGATATGCACCTATTCAAATTTCATAAATTTTCTGCGTGAAAGGTTGATCTATATTTATTATCTTATTCCTTCGCTCAAAATTTTGTAGTTTCTCGATAGTGACTACGTATTATTCCCATAATACATATTACATAATAATATAATAATAATATCCTTAATCAATTTAATCAAAGTGTAAAGAGACTGATTTTTGAAATTAATTCTGAAAAAGGAGAACAAGAACAAGAATATGTAACAAAAATATTTTAGAAGAATATATCTCTGTCTATCTGAGATACTCTGAAAACAAAAAGAACTGAGTTGTACTTGTAGAAAATACTGCGAGTGTCAAGAAATAAGTTTTTCAAGAGAAAGAGAAAACTTGTGCGCTAATGTAGTTCAAATTCATGAAAAAGGAAAGTGTATCTGTAGAAAAGCCTGTATGTGTCACCTCCTAGTTGTGAAGAAAACTCGAAGTTCCATTCGTTCAGATAAATGGCACAGATAAAATCGTCGGATGGAATTTTCTCAAATCATAGATCGAACTTTTTTTCCTAAATTTAAAATCTAAAAATGAAGATTACAATGCACGGTATGATTTTTCCTTGAAACGGTCTTGTGATAAATTAATATTTTCAATTAAAATCCAATACAACGCGTAATAACGCGTAATTTGAGTAAATATATACAGTAAATGTATAATTACTGTAATATGACGATGTTACACATAATATTATACAAATCAAACATGCACGAGGCAAATATTTACAACAGAAGATCATATTCGCCAAAATTCAGGCCGCTTCCTGCGGTCGAAAATTCGTCGAACAAAATATCTCGCACCTGCATAGGAGAAACAGTAAATATAACGAAAGCCGTGGCTTTAGAATTTCAAATACCATAACAAAGAAAGGAGAACGTCATTATATTAGTTATACGTGCCATCTTACGCGACGAAAAGAAGCTTTTGCATATTCCAGCGTTATATCACTCGTGCTTTATTATGTATGCACGAACGTGAAGTAGCAAAACAGGAAGCCGGAAAAGTCAGCCGCGCATCTACCGCTCAGAGAATAAAAGCGCAGTTATAAATTGGGGGAAATCGCGTCTCTTTCGCGACTCTGAATGCAATCTAATAAAGTGTTTAGACTTCCCGGCCGTCGAATAAATCCCGAGGCGACCAGGAATACGAAATAAATGCGCCATATTAATTTAGCCGAATTTATAACGAGACTGGGTCTCTTGGTTTCCGTAAACGTGGTTCGTTAACAAATTTCTTCCCTTTGATATTATTAAATCAGAGATGCTTAAAAAAATGTGACGTTTAAAGATAATCAAATTAGTTTCTTTATAAATATCATGATTAAATATACAGAATACGGCTGAGATAGTACAGGTGGATGAAGGATGATGCCTCGTACAGAAATAAATCAAATGTGCGTAAATGAAATCTTTTAAATTCCTGATATGTCAACGTTCGTGGATATTGTTTGTAGAAACGTATGAAACGTAATTTTTTCCACATTTCGGAGCATTATTTTGTTCATTTTCAGGCAACGAACACGTATATCGTGGAACATATTTTATTTATATTATAATATTATAATTTCAGTCACATAGTTCAGACGAATGTCGAGCATACTATTAATTTGAATGAAACGTACATATTGCTTTGACCTGCTTTCCAGGCTTGATTCCAACCGCGCACGTATTGCTACGTCAAAGTATTCTTTACACTCCTCTGTACGAGAATTACATTAAAAAAGGACATGCAAGTTTTTTGAAGCATTACTATCGTAGCAGTACGGAACGAAAAGTTTCTTTGATATATTTTTTCTGTCAAACAGGAATTAAAAACAAAATTTTATATCTCAATATATTTTTATCTAGTTGTATGATCTTATGAATATTGCCATTGTTGTGTAATATTTTTGTTTCTTCGATAATAAGTTTTATTATAATATGTTTAATTATACTGCGTATTATAATACAACAGATATTTTTATATATCCTATATATCTTAATAATATATTTTTACGTATCTTTAATGACCTCCTTTTCTTTGACAGACTCCCATTATAAAACGTTAAAAATCCTCAATCTTCCAACTAAACTCACAGAAAAGCAATCAAAGAGCTAAAAGAAGTTCGCATTGAAATAATTTATTGTAGCGAGAAATTGCCTTGAAATATGAAACTAAAGTAGGAGTACAGAGGGATACGTATCAATAATTCTTTAAATGCAAATCTTTATGATTTTTCTTTCTCATTAACCGACTTAGTTCTCCCATTTTGCTCAATATATCGGAATTAAAAAAATTGTACTAAAAATGTAAGTTTTTTCTAATATAATCAACGATTTCGAAAATACCTCACGCTCGTCCTAGTTGAAAGCTCTACCAAAGATGATTATAAAGTGACTTTTCATTTGTCTGTCAGGTTAACCACAATCCGTAAACTTAACACGCTCCCTACTTCCAGAACTTCGATTTTTAGCAGTTCTATGATTATGATTTTATGATCATAATTAGGTATTGTTAATTGAGGCGCAATTCACGGAACGTTACTTTTGTCAAACTAATCAGTTTACTGAAACTAGACGAGTCTAGTTCGTTCCTCCTGCGCTCATTAGCTCGTTCTATGATCTTTTTCTCATTATGACATGACAACAAGAAACAACAGGAAGAGGATGAGTTGTTACTGTCTAATGAGCCTCGTGCACTCATTTAACTTTCATGAAAGACCGTTTATGTTGTGTTCTGCCCGAGCATCGAGATGAAGTTGCATTTGCGAACAATATCGCGAGTTGAAAGAATAAACTTCGCATCGCACATTTTCATCCTGGTAACATTTTGGTTTCGAACTAGGAGCTAGTAAAAGAATAAACTTGGCAATTTCCAAATGACTGTCTTTTACATGACCAGCATTAGTGTCGCTTATTTTGCTAATAGTAAAAGATTAATCAGTCTCTGTTGATTTTTATAATTATTACAATTTAAATAGATAATAATATTAACTGTGAAATCTTGAATTCATGTTGTTACATTACGCTATTATTAATATCCTGAGATCTTAAATCATATTCCTACTTTACACTGGAACTAAAAGAATTTCAATTCTGTTAATGTAAAATAATTAAAAAAGCCGAAGCTAAATTTCTAGTTATCACAAAGCTGTTTTTATTATATCATGAAACTGATTTATTAAAGTGAAGATCCTGCGTTGATAAGAATGTATTAATGACTTAACTACGAATTACCAAAAAAAGAAAAAGAAAATTTGTATACTATTTGTCGCATTGTTTTAATAGTATTGTAATTACTATATCCTAAAATCTAATGCAATTTGTTTAAAAGAGATGTGAGAACAGACGTGATACTTATTATTTTCGTACCATATACAACGTCACCGATGCAATGTAGTTGTGGTTTGTATTGAAACTTGACAATTCAAATAAACAAATTACGGCCTATGAAAATAGCAAAAAATCAACAAAAAGAGCAGAATGATCACCAAAATCTTGTTCTTGTGGATAAATATATCAATTAAATACGTCAATGTTCACAAATAAACTATTTTTTTCTTTTTTTTTTTACGTGGAGAAATCCTCATGGACATTCCGCTGCTGCACTAATCGCGTAACAGCAGAATAGTGTCGGACTCCTACCGACTAAAACTCCACGATGACCATCTTATGCGTGTGACAGGGGTGCTCTAGGAACCTCTTATGAATTAACTTCAGTTGCACCCCCTTCGCGCGTCCTCTTGTTCGAGCCAGTCCTAGTACCTCCTGACTATTGAATTAGCGTTAGGGGGGGGGGGGGGGGGGGGGTCATTGCCCCTAGCGCTGTCGCTCCTTCGCTGTTCGCCTCCCTCGTTGATCAGCTGGGATCGCCACCGGTCCCACGTGTCCACCTCAGCGGTTCCTATGTCGTTTGGAGCCGCCTGCTCGGTCAGATCTTCTTCACAAATAAACTAAAACTAAGGCGTAAAACAAATGCAACGCGACTTCAAATTAAAACTTGACAGTAATGTTGACCTGACCTGAAACATAAAAACAAGGCTTAAAACTAAGACATAAAACTAAGACATAAAACTAAGACTTAAACCTAAGACTTAAAAAATTAATTCTAAGATTAATGTTTATAACTTGGATTTAAAATTAAGACTTGGACTATGGTTTAAAATTACAACTTAAAATAAAGATTAAGTCCTCCGCTGTTTCTCGTCCGCCTTTACCGTCCAACAATGAGGCTTAAAATTAACTTAATCGAAGTCTCAGAACTAAAACTTACTTAAACTAAAGTACATTAAATTACAGTCATACTGGCAACCTTTCGTATGAAGGACTTTAACTTGCTGTGAAGTTTAAAAACTGAAACTAGAAACACTTTGTGAAATCAATTGTTTCATTTAATAATTTCATATTTAAAAGGATTAAATAAAGGAGCCCTTACCTTTTCGCTTCTGTACAAGCAGCGCGTAGAGTGGACTTAGCCTAGCAGATATATATATCTTAGATTTAATTAAATCTAAAACGCACTCATCCCACGCGCGATGCCCCGCGATGATCCCAAATCCCAATGATGCGCCACGACGGTACCCGACGTCTCACGGCGGATACTAATAATTTACTGAGGTACGTAGGATTATTAAGGTCCCTTACTAAGGTATAAGACCTATATTATGATCAATTAAAGTTAAAACGTTAGATACTTAACTTGAGAATTACGACTAATGGTTAAATCTAAAACTTAAAATTAACCACCTATCTCGCATAGAATGATCACATGGATATTTACAATCTTGAAAGTAAGCATATATGACATAATATATATCTCCTACATGGCGATTACATGGATCTATCAAACCTTAAAATTAAACATGCACCACGTAAAATAAGTTTTGTATAGAACGACAATACAGATCATTACAAACTGAAAATTTAATAAAAACTAAGACATAGCTATTCCACGATGTCCTTGCCATATTCCATGACATCTCACAACGGATTGTCAATGCAGCTTAGATCACCAAAATAATTTGAGGAAATTGACGACCTAGACCAGACTATGTTAGCGTAGTCCTTGGCTCGCCATGGTGTTGCCAAAGATTAATTAACTCACGGAAAAAAACTCCACGAAACCTATACGAAAACTACACGAAAACTCTACGAAAACTCCACGACAACTCCGCGAGAACTCCGTGAGAACTCCGCGAGAACTCCACGAGAACTCCGCGAGAAGTCCGCGAGAACTCCCCGAGAACTCCGCGAGAACTCCCCGAGAACTCCGCGAGAACTCCCCGAGAACTCCGCGAGAACTCCCCGAGAACTCCGCGAGAACTCCCCGAGAACTCCGCGAGAACTCCCCGAGAACTCCGCGAGAACTCCCCGAGAACTCCGCGAGAACTCCCCGAGAACTCCGCGAGAACTCCCCGAGAACTCCGCGAGAACTCCCCGAGAACTCCGCGAGAACTCCCCGAGAACTCCGCGAGAACTCCCCGAGAACTCCGCGAGAACTCCCCGAGAACTCCGCGAGAACTCCCCGAGAACTCCGCGAGAACTCCCCGAGAACTCCGCGAGAACTCCCCGAGAACTCCGCGAGAACTCCCCGAGAACTCCGCGAGAACTCCCCGAGAACTCCGCGAGAACTCCCCGAGAACTCCGCGAGAACTCCCCGAGAACTCCGCGAGAACTCCCCGAGAACTCCGCGAGAACTCCCCGAGAACTCCGCGAGAACTCCCCGAGAACTCCGCGAGAACTCCCCGAGAACTCCGCGAGAACTCCCCGAGAACTCCGCGAGAACTCCCCGAGAACTCCGCGAGAACTCCCCGAGAACTCCGCGAGAACTCCCCGAGAACTCCCCGAGAACTCCGCGAGAACTCCGCGAGAACTCCGCGAGAACTCCGCGAGAACTCCCCGAGAACTCCGCGAGAACTCCGCGAGAACTCCCCGAGAACTCCGCGAGAACTCCGCGAGAACTCCCCGAGAACTCCGCGAGAACTCCGCGAGAACTCCCCGAGAACTCCGCGAGAACTCCGCGAGAACTCCCCGAGAACTCCGCGAGAACTCCGCGAGAACTCCCCGAGAACTCCGCGAGAACTCCGCGAGAACTCCCCGAGAACTCCGCGAGAACTCCGCGAGAACTCCCCGAGAACTCCGCGAGAACTCCGCGAGAACTCCCCGAGAACTCCGCGAGAACTCCGCGAGAACTCCCCGAGAACTCCGCGAGAACTCCGCGAGAACTCCGCGAGAACTCCGCGAGAACTCCACGAAAACTCCACGAAAACTCCGCGAAAACTCCACGAAAATTCCACGAAAACTCCACGAAAACTATACAAAGACTATACAAAAACTATACAAAAACTACACGAAAACTACACGAAACCTATATGAGAGCTCCACGAAAAATCCTCGAAAACTCCACAACTCCATAACTCACAATGATTCCACAACTCATAAGCAACGATTGACCCGCAACTACTCGCACCTTACTCGTAACTGCAAGTAGTTGCAACTCAGTCGTGACTCCTACTAGGAATTTTCACTACTGATTGTTCTCCCTACCAAGACGTCCCTTTTATACCTGAGTTTTCGGTACTCTTACAACGTACTTCCCTTCACAGCTGTTAATGACCCAAGATGGTCACGTACACCTTTTTCAATTATTCATTGTCCTAAAGGGTCCCAGGTATATGGTCCTTCGTGATTTCTCATTCTTTACAACCTGTGGCTATTGATTCTGCCACCATACTACATTATAAATTTTCTTAACTTAATTCTAAGCTTATTCTGTTGTTCAGCAATTAATTTAACTGAAAACACTTCTACACGCGCCACTCGCATTTTTCGAAGTTGTTGGAAATAAAGTGTATATTTAAATTGTTAACTCAGTGTTTTAATCAGCATTTTCTTAACAAAAATAGGGGATCGGCCGATTCGTAACGTCGATTATCGTATCAAACCGAGAAGTTACGCCTCTCGGTGACGCGCTATACTGTGAACGCGTTTCCTTGCGAAACAATCGAACAAGTTGAATTATTAATTTGATTTAAAAACGTCTGTAATTTGTATTAAAAGTACGATACAATTTCGTTTACTCGAATCTGTTCTTAGAATTTCTCCTTCATATAATAGATTTCACGATCAGATAAATGTGTTCAATGATGTTTATCTAATCGAGGATTAACAAAACTTTTGTTCGAATAAACGGAGCACCTTCAAATCTATGATTCAAACGAATTTATAATTACAATCGTCGCAACGACGCGACGTTCTACATTCTAGAGAGCGTGAAAAGCACCATGATTTTTTCGAGATCATTATTTCAGGACGTTAGACACAGAATCCTATTTAAATGTCACGTCTGTGCCGTTCGTGTCAATGATTTGAGTCAATTATTTCTTGTCGAAAAATTCAATAAAATATCATTTCCAATAAACAATTGAAATCTTACTCAATTGTATCTCAATTCAGTATTGTCACAATACTGACAGTATCTATCATTTTAATTTCGTAAAAATTAAGTTGAAAGTTATATTAATATTAAAGAAGATATAAGTGGAAACTCCAAATGAATTCGAACGCTTTTTTAAGACATGGATACTTACCGATACGTAAGGTACAGTGACATTTACATAATACAAATTTTCCATTTTGTTCTCCAAATTGGCGTTGAAACGGTACCATTTAATGTATCACAGTCATAAGACATTTTTGCACTGTAAAACATTGTAGTTTCTGAGTATCATTTGCTTTATCCACGGTACGTAGAATTGAATTTAAAGAACATTACATTACTCATAAAACATTCTCTCATTATTGACATATACAATTAAGTAAGTAAGTTTTCGTTAACTATGATCATAAATATATGAATTTGCATAAGTATCCATAATCTACCGACTGATATATTTTATTATATCGAATCCAAAGTTTACTAGTTCTATTCTATGCTTCTAATATTCTATTTTATAGTTCTAATCTAACTTTTTCATTTATAGGACGATTGTTCATACGTTTGGAACATTCCCACTGAAGATCGTTGTAGATGGGTGAAAGAAACCAAAGATTGTTTCACGGATTCCGTAATTCAATATACGGAAATCCTTTTTTGCTCCTTTGGTTCGGAGAACACGTTTTTATTCACTATAGGACTGACGATAATGGTCATATGGCTTTTATATCTGTTTTTAATTTTAGGAACTACAGCGGACAATTTGTGAGTAGCTATTTCTAAGATTAAAGGCTTTATATCTTTCTCGCTAATTATTAAAATACTTTGTATTTAACCTTTGCGTGAGCAACTAGATATCCGAATAGCCATTTATAAATTCTTTAATAATCTTTTAAAAACATTCCGTCCTTTCTTCTATATCTATCTTCTATAATAGGTTACAAGAAATAATTAGAAGATTCGGGAATGTATGAAAGTAATATTATCGTTACGTATCTGATCTATAGGAGTAGGATGCGTGATAACGACTTTGATTGCCTATACGAGAGTTGAAAATTTGTTTCTTAAAATTTCATTCATCTCAATTCTTTTATCGAAATTAAAGAGAATCGTCTTTGCTAAATATTTTCAAATGTTTGTAGTACCTTAAAAATTTTGTTTCTGGTTTAAAGAACAGGAAAGTACTAGTTTTATAAAATTACGATATTAGATTATTATTCACTGCTCTGTTTACGATTTTTCATCCTTTGCATTATCTCATTTTATTCATAAGATAAGACAAAGAGACTTGGATGATATTCATAATTATTTATGAAATTCGATTAGGCAAAGGATATGGTATCTTTATATTGAATTCCATAACGTCTTTTAATTTTTATTTGGTCTGATTCGAGATTTCGAATTATTCTTCATCTGCGTTATGAATCCTTAGCTAATTAACTAAAACTAATTTAATTATTTAATAGATATTAATGTAAGACAATCGCAGATATGTACTTCAATTAAGTATTAAATTATTATCCTCAATAGAAATTATTTGGTAGAATCCGATTAAGATTTACAAAATAGATTTCATTTTACAAATTTTTGTTTCATTTATTAGAATATTATGCTAGAGACATATATCTTATTTTGCTAATTATTATTTTTCTCATATATGTGTGTTTCTCCTCTTTAACGAAATACAAATATACATTTCACATCTCCATTTACAAAATTCTTTTTTTTAGTTTTTAAATTCTCGTCGTAGGAAGCGTAATTACTTTTTTTTGTCAAGGTACTAAGGCATCTACCAACGTTGCTTATTTCGACATTTTATACGTCATAGACGTTGTACGCAGGTTTGATCAAAAGCGAGGAAAATCGCGGAATGATAGTTAATAAAATAGTTATGGGGGAAATAAAATTTCTATGATTTTCCATAAAAGTGCCGATATCGATGGTTAGGTGACGCATAAAGTCTTTCACGGCACATTGTGTTCAGTAAAGGGTGAATTATAGCTCATCGTGTGCGTGCGAATCGACATATTCTCATGCGGAAAGCGATTCAATTTTAATCCAAATGGTCGGCGAAAGCTTTATACCCCGTCATTAAAAAGAAACCATCTGCCCCTACAACACGGTTGCTGGCCTCTTGCTTCCCTAATAAAATTCTAACATGTATGTATCACGTATATAACTTAAATGCGACTTAAGCAGTTACAATCTATTGCCTATTGTGGCTGCTCTCAATAGATATAGCTATGATCATCCGGAATATTCGATGCAATGGGTCAAAAGCAATAGTCCATCCCACATGAAAAGGATCGAATAGTCAAGTGATATGATTTCACAATAGGATTTAACAGAAGTGTACTGTGTTACTAATATACATATACAGTGATTCACGGAAATATTCGTACATTTGCTACAAAAAATGTTGATGAATACATTATGTGCATTGTACGACTCTGTTTGAAATTTTGTTAGCACCGTAATGATTCACGACTAGCGTGATTATAATAGTAAAATTTGAAATCAATTCGAAAACATTTATAGAAGCTACGAGACATTTATTGCAAACATACACTGAATGAAAGAAAAATTAGTATATAACGTGAATACAATAATACAATACGATACAATAATTAGTGCTAAAGATTGTCTCACTAAATAGGTATTTTAACTTATTAATACAGTGCATTGTTTACTGTTCAAATATTCTTGTAATCTTTGCGAAAAGTATACTTCCAATTAACATCTTGTATCTTATGCTATTTCAGATCCGATTTGAAATTTTACCAACATAATCACGATAGTCGTATCTCAATGCTAACGAGATTTCAAAAATGTTTTATGTATAATACTAAACATATAAAAAGTTTCTAAGGGTGTTTGAGTGCTTTCCATTTATCTTTTATTACTTTCGACTATTTTACATAGAAAATAGCAATTTTCTAAGTAAATTTTCAAAAGTTAGATGCTTCACGTTTATTGTTACATCCCAAAACTCTACCATATGCTATAATCCATCCGTCTGTCAAAATAGCCACCAGCTATATACTCAGCTACTTACTCAGACCCGCAATAATCCTAAGGAACTGGTATAAGATTTAGCATTCTTTACTTTACTGTCGAGGCTCTTAATTACTACAAGGATATTTCAAGTCGAGACGTTCCTTCAGGTTATTACTCATTCCGGCAAAATATAAGAAAGGCAGGTTTTCCCATGTACAATGTTCGAAAGCCACTTCCACTCGCAAATGACCGTTGATGGGGGAGGTCAGTATCCATCACTAGTTCCTTATACATCTAGGGCCATTGTCACAGAAGACAATTGCTATTGACTCTGCTGAAAACACTTTTACACGTATCACTCGCATTCTTCAAAGTTGTTGGAAATAAACTATATATTTAAACTCTTAACTCAATGTTATAGTCATTCGACCAATTCTTTTTTGTCTTTTATTTCTATTATCTTAAACAAAGTAAGGGGTAACTGATTTATAGTGTCGATTACCATATCATAACGAGAGTTTACGACCCTCGTTGGCGCGTTATACTGTAAACACGTTTCCCTGCGAAATGGTCGAACATTTATTTCAACGTAAAAATATCAATACTGATTTGAATCAAAAATTTAAGATTCGAGGCTTAACCATTTACTTTATTTGATTATATCGTATTAACACGTATGAAAGACAGATGATACATAAATAAAGCTGAAGGATATGACTCAATATAGACACTTTTAACATCAAATACATTTGCGTGTCCTATTGGTATTAAATGGTTAGAGTTTTTCCTTTTATCTTTGAAGAACATTTAATAGGATCAATTTTTAATTATGATAAAATGACATTACAAGATCGTTATTGAAGGATAATCTTTCCTGTGAAATTTATTAAAACAATTAAATCCAATATCTCTTTCTACGTGAAGGACCTTTCTGCCGGACGTGACAAAGGAAAGGAATTAATTACGAATTTGCTCGCCAACTTTTTTGTCGTATATCACGTCCTTGCTTTCTTCTCCTCTTTACTCCTCCTTCAACGCTTACAGCTAAACGCGTATCGGATGAAACCTAATTCATTTAACGTGCCGTACGGAGTGTATTTAGAAATGCGGTTACATCGAAATTCGATTCACGATAAAAAAAACGCACATATCCATGCACATGGGAATAAAATAGGCAGAAATGAGATAACGTGAGTAATTTGTTGCTCCACGTTTGCAAATTAAATATCGAACCAAAGCGATTGCGATCGTCGTAAATTAATCATTACCGTTCTTCTTCTCTAGACTCACGTTTCATCTTTTAATACGATCACTGTGTATATTTCGCCACACGCTTTTACGAGATGTACATGATATCGATTTGGCCGCAGGAGGCAAATTAAAAGTTAGGAAATATTGGGAGAAACTTTCATAGGTACTGGGAATTTTTTGGAAGAAGAGCACAGAAAATAATGGTGAATCGAATAAACTGCACTGGCAGTTTTAATTAGGTTTTCCTTCTTGGAATGAAAATTGTAAGGGGATTTGTAATTAAATAGCTCCTAAAATGTTTCTTACTTTCATAAAAATAACAATAGATCAATTTTTTATTCGATGAAACGAAATGAATGGAAACAAATTATCGATATTTATATTAATTCCGTTTCGAAGCGTAATTTAGTCTTACAGTTATTCTTATGGTTACAGAGCTGATATTCATGAAAAATCGAACTTATTACATTATACATTTTCTGTCGATGTAAATAAGTATTACGAATTTTTTATATTAATTTACGATGTCTATTAATTTTTGGTTGAAAATCTTTCTCTTTGAAAGTTTCTCGCAAGAGGAAGTTTAGTACCGTGGTATTTAACGATCCTAAGGATCAAAGAGTCAATTTTATTTGAACTGTTCGTCATTAAAGTTAATGCTCGTTTAATCGTTATATCGAACGAAAGACCACACGATCCTGTGTTACACGCTTTTTCTTACTTTTACTTGTAGAGTATAAGCCAATTTTGCATAAAAGATCTGGGACATTCTATAGAGATAGATTTCATCTAAACTGATCTGTTACCATACCATATTGGATGTAACACCTATAATGAAAATCCGATTAACACGAGACGGTGTTTGTCCGAACCATGTAGCCCATTCTCAACTCCAAACACCCTACGATTGTCCCACCATTTTTTCATTTCCTCTGTCTGTGTAGCTTCTGCCCGTCACTGGCGGTGATAGCCAGTGTTTTGCAGCTGTCGGACAATATAGCCGGGGTGACGATATTGGCATTCGGAAACGGTGCTCCTGACATCTTCACGTCCCTCGTATCGGGTACCGACGAAGGGATAATAATGTTCACGGAATTAATCGGCGCCGGTGTCTTCGTGACGGCGATTATCGCCGGCTCTGTTGCGGTAGTCAAGCCCTTTCGAGTCCTGTTGAAACCCTTGATGAGAGACGCATGCTTTTACATCGTTACGGTATGCTGGATCAGCTACGTCATAAAAGATGGCACGGTTCACCTTTGGGAAGCTATCAGTACGTACACCTTTCTCAATATCGAACCTTTACGAGACTCAAATCGCGCCTTTTATTCCGTTATCTTTGTTACCCGACTCGAACGCTGGATTCGCAATCCCCTCAACTTTCACATGGAGGAACCTCTCGAGTCGAATGTTCCGAGGAAGCGTGGAACTTTGAGGAAACTGTAGAGAGTTCTTTGGAACGTTGCATGTTACGTTACGAAGCCTGTTTTAGAAAGGGCTTTGGTAACTGAGTTAAAAATCAATGCGTTCGGCCGCTCCTGTAATATTCGGTCTTTTCTGGAAATTTAGTTTCATAAAATTTAATCGAAATAAATCGTTAAATTTTAATTGCAGACCAGAAAAGCACGATCTGTTACATTTTTCGCCTTTTTTAGTGGAACATTTTTGAAATTTAACAAAGGGTTCACGGAGTTGAAAATAAACAATCGAAAAGGATTTCAAACTGAACGATATTTCTATTGTCTATAACATCGAAAACATTTTCTTCTTTTTCGATCCATGTTTACTGTGATCTTTTTCCTCTATATGACAATTTCCTTTAATCTTTCCCAATGCTTTCCTTTGACATCCCGTATTTAACAAGTAAAATATTCGTTCAGCTATCCAGAAGAAATATTGTTCTTTTTATTTAGTTTTATTTTAGTTTTTCTAAATTACTTTGAAAATAAAAGTTTTCATCATTCGTTATCATTATTTTATAAGACTTGGAATTATAACAATAGAATTATTTGGAGATTACTGAGTACCTTATATGCATGAATTTCATATATCTCCGTTTATTTATTCGTTTTTCGATATTCCTTAAAAAAGGATTGAGGAGTAAAAAATAATAGTGCGCCCTCTAGATCTGCATAAAATTATCTGGACGAAGTGTAGAAGAGATATAAAGGGGGTAAAAACGGGGTGGCGATCAAATATGCTATGCTTCATGCTCATGCTCAGAAACGGAAAAATTTATCTACGGGCGAGAGCCATACGTATGCAGTTTAATTTGGCAATAACGATAACTCTGGAATGAATTTAATTAAGCAAAGCCACGATCTTTCTGCCATCGTTCCGGCTTCCTAATAATTTAACCCCCACGAATTTCTGCTGCGATTCATAAGCCTCTCAAACTTTAAAAGACTAAAAAAGTTGATAAAAAATTTACAAATATTTCATCGAAATTTCATTCCAATGATCCAACAATTGAAGTCGGCACTTATTCTCGATTCGTATCTAATTAGTATATTGAAGTACTTAATGCTGAAACGATTAGTATTGCAGTAGATTGAGGAATATGTAGCCAGTATTCTAATATTTACTAATTACTAGAAATTATTAATAAAGAATGATACTTATTATATTTCCCATCGAAGCACAAAACACTCGAAAAGTTATGGTATTTTTACTTATTTCGCGCATATATGTATGTAGATTTCATTACTGCGTCAGTTGTCATTGAAAATATTCAGTTTTTCTTTGAATTTATGAAAAAAGAATACATACGTCTGTTACAAAAAATGGCAGAACGGTTGTAAAATATTACTTCATTTTCCAGATAACAAGCAAGAAATTAAATTTTCCTTTTCGTACGAACAATAGAATTTTTTTAAAAGTTACTTATTTATTTCAAATTTAGCTTTAAATGAAAAAGAAAGAAAATAAAATTTCCAATGAGATTAATTCAATTCATCATCCTTAACCCATAGTCTCCAGAAAGCTCCACGATTGTTAATTTCAATCGACAAATTTATTGATATTGATCATTAGAACAGCGCAATTAATTATTAGCCCAAGTGTTCCATTGTTGTGAGTTTCTCAGAATAATTTCACGCATAATGGGCGCGAATAAAACATCCGGCTCGCTGCGATGCAAAAACGAGCAAAACTAATAAGTCCTTTTTACCATTCCCTAATTTAAGGAGAGATTTACAATGCGCCGCAAGTTTTTCCGTGTCACATTGCGCTTTTGTGGCAATTAATTACTCTGACTTTTGTGCGCACCTGCATGACCAAACGACGGTAATGCTTTTTAATGCTGATACATTTTAATTGCAGGCTTTGTTCTTTGCTACCTATTGTTCATCAGCCTGGTGGTGATAATGCAGATATACGAGAACCGGGAGGAGAGGCTAAAAAGTGCGTTTAATGCTGCATAACTTTTCGAAACGCTTGATAAAGCATCATTCAGTGGTATGACCAAATCCGGGCAGGAAGAAAGGGGTTTCCCAGAATTTCCATGGAAAACAAAGGGTTTCATATTGAATCCTGGGCAAGCCCTATTCAAACGAATAACTTTCCCTAGACATAAACGTAATTCAGACGTGTAATGTTATACTCGAAAATGAGAATATGAAAGGAAACATAAACTGGAAACAACAAAAGCAGCTTGAAAACTCGATTTAATTAAGAAAACGATATTGTTCGATTACAATTACGCGTTGTAACGAGTGGAGGAGAAACTCTTCGATAAAGTTTCAGTCGACTATATCGACGTTGCACAGTAACGAATGTAGCTGACGATAGATTTTTCCGATAAAAAATAATGGAACAAATATTTACTCGATTTCACAGCCATCTGTATTTTCCTTGTTAATACACATCTTGTTTTCCGTCTCAAACAATATAAATCTTCTTTACATACTAGCTATACAGGTTGTTCACGTCATTAATTCTCGGCATATTTTTTTTAGAAATAGCATAGATTCGTGAGAGAAGCAGACAAGGAAACAAAAATTTAATATTTTCTATAACTAATGCGATGTCTGAATACATATCATAAATCCGTTACCTATAGTTCTCGGATAATGACGAGAACGTGAATATTTTTACATTTATAGCTATAATTTTGTTTACATTATATGCAAATGAGAAAATTGTTTCGAAAGGAGTTTAATAACATACGACGAGAATAGTATTCAAAATAAGAATGAAAAGATATTCCGCACGTTTTAATAGATTTTAATAGACCTAACCCAAAGCATTAGAATTTCATATTCGTATCTGGTAAATATAATGTTATAAAATGTACAAAATATTTGCATAACTTTTACTATTGTTTCGTAATAAAATAAAATATAACTTTAATATCAGTCACGATAGATTGCCAATGGCTTAAAAAGCATAGTGAATATTTTACAATAATAATAGTTCTATGAGAAGACTCAATCGATTGATTCACATCACTCTATAATTCTCAACTCATTAAATACGAACAGGAAGAAAATAAGCACTTTTGTCTTTTCAAACAATAACTACAACTTAAGAAAAAGAATAATTTCCACCGACCAGAGAAACAAAATACGAAGAAATCGTGTTTGAATGCTGTTGAACCTCTGTTTAACATGTACTATGTGTACTGTTTGTTACGTTCCTTGCTCAGTTTGCAACCGAAGCCAAACATTACGCGGACGTATCTATGAAAAGGCTGAAAGCATTTCGAAACGAATACTTCTACTTGCGAAGACAAAAAAGGATGTCGACGCAAGTGTAGTTATCGATCCTTTCCCTGCAAGGTTCCCTTATGTACTTTCGCAGGCAGGATCCCAAGCGTACCCGATCCAGATATCCTGCGCACTTACTTGGCGAACAAGGACAAGGACATCATTCCCAGGATTCCCGTAAAGGGTCGTGCCGTTAGGTTGCGAACTAAGATGGGTATGCATGTTATTTCCCCAATTGATCATGCATTTTTCTCGCTTTCATTAAATCAAAATCACAGTACGTACGCTTTCATGAATTTTTGTGTAGACCTTTCACAAATGTTTCACAGTCAAGTTAGAGTATAGTATAGTATAGTATTCGTCTAGAACCGCATTCTAATTCGTCAACTTTCCTTTCTTACGCTGTTTTGGTATACGTATATCTATGCTATACCTCAAGTTTATCCGATATCACGTAGGTAATTTTTTTTTTTTGATCGTTTATTTAATACGCTGTATACTATGTATATGTTATAAAAATAATTTCTATGGAAATATTAATTTCCGTTAAGGGATTATTAAAGAATGCAGAAACTTACGTGTCAAGCCAAATAAATTAAGGAAGGTAGGTTCAATTTCTGGACTTTCGCTCCTTGGAGAGTAGACACCAATATACCATTTCTCACGGAAAACGTCCCAAAGGATTATAAAATATCATAGAAAGATTTTCCTATCTTTAGTACGATAGTTCTTGCAGAGACAAGTTCATATAGTTATATCTTACGTAAACCAAGTCGCACATTAAAAAATACAATTAATATTATATTATAGAAATATTATTTATTAGTAAAACATTTAGTCCTTTCTCTAGATGTTTCATACAATAATAAATCTTCCACGTATCAGATATTGCAATTGCGGTCGAGCTGGGGAAAGAACAGAGGCAAAACAGAACAACACTGCCAGAAGAGATGGTGGTAGAAGACGTCGACAGGCCAAAGGGACTTTTCAAGGAATTTCTCTATGACATTAATCCGATAGGAGAAGAAGATTGGACAAGTGCAAATCGACTCGTTAAATTTATTTTAATCATACGTTCGCCCGTCATGCTTCTTCTTCAATTATTTATTCCGCTTGTGAACATGACTACGGTAAAGAGAGGTTGGACCAAGTTGCTAAATTGCTTCCAGCTGTGTGTGACACCGACGTTGTCGTTGTTTCTATTAAACGGTTAGTTGTATTAATTGTCGCGCCTTTTACGGCCGCCGTTATAAATTGCCAGCACTAATAAAAGCTGGAGATTTCGCGGAAAAATTTTAACGTGGTGAAATATAAGTAAGCATGCCCATTTTTGTAACATACAAATTGCCAGAGTTTAGTCGAAATTAAAACAAACTGTCACAGATGTTTATACACCGATTCCACTTCTTTCCACCACTTTTTTAATATTAATATATTACGTAATATTAACGTACCTATTCCAACTGACTTTCTATTCTTTTCTTCTATATGACTATCCAGGAAGATAAATTATTATTAAAAATTACATAGTCGTGTAACAATCAAATAGCGTGTCTGATGTATACTATCAACCAGATAAACACTTATTTTGAGTTTTAATCGTAAGATTAATTTAGTCGAGAATTTCTCACATACGTTATTGAAAACGATAACTACCGAAGTAATAAGAAGTTTTCTAGCTTTCATTAGTAGTTAAAAATATCTTCGGTCAGCTATCACGACTGCCATCTCATTTTCACCCTCGTTCCGTAGTTTGGAAAACACATTTTGGCCCGGTTTCAGTGGTGCCAATATTCCTGGTGGTCGGTACCGTAATTGGTGTAATTGTATTTCTAATGACCCACGTGGATCGCGTACCAAAGTTTCATAACGTGAGTACTTTTTCTACCTTTTCGCCATTCGCGCCAAGCTTTCGTATCTGCTGCGCTCTCATACAACTGCTTGCTCATAACGGCCGGCGACAAATTAATTGCAGGCTTTTGCATTTTTCGGATTCTTGGCTGCTATGCTGACGGTATATTTGGTAGCCGGGGAGGTGATGGCAGTCCTCCAATGCGTAGGATACGCTTTCAGTATATCGGACGCCATGCTCGGTATTACGTTCCTCGCGTGGGGAAACAGCGTAGGTGGTGAGTGCAACAATATTATTGTAAAATAATTCGTGCGTTGAATTGCCTCTAGCTTCCCTGTTGTTCGACATGGTCAACTGAAACCACGTAATTACATTATACATTAACCCTTACATGAAAGTTATTTGAAACTTAATATAGGCAAATCATGTGTAATTACACACTTGCACAAAGTTACACTTACAAATTCACACTTACAAATTATTGGAACTTATGTTTGAATTTAAAATTAGGATTTCAAGCGTCATAGACTTTTGTGCTTACGTCTACATACTTTTTAATATTGACACGTCTCATGCGACGAAAAATTGTGTATTTTCTTTCTATCATTTTACATTTCAAATTTTTCTAGTCATATGAAAGTACTGCTAAATGATGTGAAATTTAATATATCTGAACCTAATTAATTATTAGTATGTAAATGCTATAATAAATACAATGGTGTGCAAATTACTTTTTGTAGCCAGTGTAAATATTATCCTCATGACCCTTAAACTACATTCCACCATCGCATGTTTTTATCGTCTTTACTTTCCATTAAAAACCGTTCAATAAAGTATAAATAAAAGAAGCAAACTCCATAACGCACCCCACTAGCTGTTGAATATTTAAAAAGTAGTTACACGAGCCGTGTAGCTCTTGGTTGTGAATCCAATCATCTAATATTTCACTTGAACGTTAACTATAGACCAGATATTGACTGAAATCTGCTTATAGATCTCATATCGAACGTCGCCATAGCTAGACAAGGATTTCCACGAATGGGATATGCAGCTTGCTTTGGCGGACCGATGTTCAATACACTCTTGGGATTGGGACTAACTTACGGAATGGCAGCCAGCAAACACCCAGAGCATCGTACAAACATGAGAATGAGCGATATGGCGCCTGGTTGTTTGGCTTTCCTTCTGTGCTCATTAATAACGTCTATTATTTACTTAAACATTACCGGGTCTATAGCACGAAAATCATACGGCTATCTCTTATATACTATATATTTCACGTTTATTCTCATTCAGTTCCTCAGCGAATTCAAAGCGATTCATCCACTCGGTACCGATCATCGACCGTAACTAGAATCGGATAAAATTCTTAATGAATAACTTGAATCGCATTTGCACGGTAATGCTGAGATAAATACGTGAAAAATAAATAATACGTACATATAATATCGACTATCTTTATAAAAGAGCAGATTACAGGAAAAGAACCCGATTATTTCTTCCGAAAGTATAGTTTCAAAATTTAAATACGTTGTCTCAGTCCATCCTATATTAGTGAAATTGTTTTTGTATTTAATTTTGGAACTAAACGTATATTGTTTCACCTACTTCATAATTTTAATGATATCGCTTGTCATGATGTTAAAATATGGAAGATATTCAAATATATTTATCTTAATAGTCGTACATTTTTTTCAAAATTTTGTTATAAATTAAAAGTTACATTTAAAAGGCTTATATGCATGTGATAGGTTGTTTTTGTCTTCAACTATATCATATCAAATACTATTTTTTAATCAGAAAATGACATTAAAATCAGAAAGTCGACAGAAATGTTCTGGTTTCTTTTTCTTGTAATCTTCAAGTAGAAAGTAAGTATGTTGATTTAAATTAAACCATATATTTATTATATCTTGCAGTGTAAATGTTAATACTTTTATACTGTAGGCTGTATTTACGTTAATATTATGAGAACTAAATATTTTATTCTAAACTGAAGTATGTTTATAGTTAAATTCGCTAAAAATTTATATATATCGCCATGACTTTCATTTATTATTCGGAAATGAAAATTAAATTTCAATTAACCAAATTTTAACTCAATCTACTAGTAACGACAAGAATTTGTATTATATGGAAATGATAGAATGCCTATAAAACATTATAAAGTTACGGATCGCCCGCCCGTTTAGCTTTGCTTTCAAGCAATAAATATGAAATTAATAATAAACAATATTATAAGCATCAAATTAATTGAGTTGATATTAATAACCCTTATGGTGTGCTGAAGTCATTTACCTTCAGTACTTTAATTAATAATACTATCCATTATATTGTATACAGAAGAAATAGTTGATAAAACAAAATTTTCGGTGTAAATTTTCTCTTTATTTATTACCTGCTTTTCGCAAAATGGATTCCATATTATTTAATAGCAGCAAAATGGTTATATCCTCCTAGGTTTTAACACTCACTTTGTCAATATTCTGTGAGTATAATCGAGCAAAAAATATTATACAAATATGAGACATTTAAAGCTTTATTAAAAACTTATAATAAAAATACGAAATTCGAAAAGAACAGTAGACACTTTGGGCCCTAATATCGTCTCCAATTTTATAATCTCCCATTGGACTTTTATGCGAGGATAGCTTTAAAAATGGAAGATATATGAAACCTGTATCAATACCAGGTGAATTGATAGAGTGAGTTTATTGGTTCATTGCGATGAAATAAAATCAAAATATGATTTGTACTGACAGATATTTTGTAGTAATAAGTTCGATTTTTAGAATAAGTTTGTAGGATATTTTGAAAGTTTTTATCAAAATAATACTATAAAAAGTATTCATACAATGAATGTTCAAACATATTTACATTTCCAAATAACGAAATAGACATTCAACCAGAGTAAGAAGCTGACATAATGAAAACTACATGAAAACTTCGACTCTTTTTACGCAAGAAGTAATAAAAAGGTCTTATTTATAGTCCGGAAAAGGCTAAGCATGGCTTTGAAGATGGATATTCACTTAAGGGAGGGTCGAAATAATAGCGAATGAAGAACATTTTGAGCTACGACGTGATATACATTTTTTACGTATAGCAGAACCCCTAATAAGTGATATCACCACCGAATCCACCCCATAAATTATTTAAGGAAGGACAGGCTCAAGGAAAGAAAGAACGCGGATTACATGGAAACGGCAACGGTGCAAAAGGTTTTCTTGTAAACGATGTCTGCAAATGAGTCAACATCGTAACTATGTGGACAGGGATACATTTTTAATGGGCCAAGGGGCTGCTACATAAGCATTCGAGAAGGATATACATTATTCGAACGTGTGAAAGCAACAGTCGAGCAATGTTGGGTCCTTTTTCCGACATTTCCCTTGAGGCTAGCCGAGGTGTTGCGTTTTCCAACTGAACTAACATTATGGCAACTATGTATACTGCCAGACAAGAAAACTACGACTGTGTTGGTATGATTTCGCTCTATACACAACCACTTTTGCATTTTCTATGCTATCATATAATTTAGGGCGATCCAACAACGATGCAAACATTTAATCGAATACATAATCAGGCGTGGGATGTGCCGCGCGTTTATCGGTACAAGATAAATAAGAAACTGGTACTTTCAATATCACAGATGTTAGTTTCATGGACGAATTTTCCATTACACCATTTACGATAAATAATTTTCAATTTTCACACAACGTTGTATTAACAACGTTAATTAATCTATAGTATTCCTCAATATACAATGAAGTTAATTTTGAAATTTCATATTATTAATTATCATAATAAAACGTTTATTAATTTTCTTAGACAGCTAGAAAGCTTGAAAAGCTAGAAAGAAACAGTGATTAAAAGGTATGCAAGACTATCGTTTATTTCGATGCCTGATACGACAAAGCATCAAATTACTCGATGACTCTGACCAATACTGTCAAATTTAATCAAAAGCAGTATCAACTTTGTCACTAATGATCGAGAAGTATGCGACTGGAAGGAATGGAAAAAAGTAGCTAATGTACTATAAGACGATAATGTATTATAATTTATACTATAAAATGCGTGTAACTTTAAGTTCATAATCTACATTAAAGATCCAAACTTTATTAAAAATAACAAATGTCCCAGAATTTTTGAGCGGAAGCGTATATGAAGTTTCCAATAATAATTACTAAAGACACCAAGTATTATAGACTTATTTTATTCATTGTGAATTGGCGTCACAGAATTTGGAGATATAATCATTTTTATTCGGGGATATTAAAATTATTGCAAATTAAAAAAAAATTGTGCGTGCAGATCATTAAATCTTAAATCAACAGCTAAAAATCTAATTAAGTAGGGAAGCCTGTAATAAATTTCTTTCTCGTAACAACATCAAAGAGATAATAATGCAGAATTATGCTGATAAAGTATATTAAATGCTGTATTAAATTCAATAAATTAAAAAAATTTTTCGTCATTTTGACATACTTTCAAATGCTTCTGTAAAACTCTCTGTTCTAAAACACTAACATCAACTAAAATAATAAAAAATATAATATTGTAAAGTATTTTCTTATAATAAATTGCAAGATAATTTGCAGAAAAGAATTTGTTTAAAATTCTCTTCATTTTACTTTAAGAAACGTTTATTTTTTAAATTGCCTATCATATGACTTTGTACTATTTTATACATAGTTCGTAAAAGTTTATAGGTACAAGATAGAAACACATGTCGAGATATTGATTTTTTAACTTTTACATAATGTTCACGTTCAACACGTACTCCTATGTGATCTGTTGTGTGCGTACAGAATCATGATGGATTGGGTCACGAAACGTCATATTGTATCGTATAAAAAAATCAAGGACCGTGTCAGCTTCTTGTTGCACTCACTTGTTAACAATTGCCATACATGCGTTTGAATTCCGGTCGAAAATCACGCTTCTGTCAACTACTGCGATCATTGCAAAACAAATAAAATAGTTTCCAAATATTTGGACACTGACTCTAGTAGTAATCCTGAAAAAATATGTGCAAATACGAGAGGAATGTTTTTAAAAAGTAACAGAAAAAAATTGAGCGAATAATATAGATGAAGATATCTTGATGTTTATGCAATAAACAAAAAGTTTATAAAAAAATAATTATGTTTCAAACAACCTACAGTATAAAGTATAATATAATAACAATACACAAATATTAAACAGTAATAATATAGTATTGGATAAAAGTAATGACATAAGCAAGGTTTTCCTGACATATCAACAATACTGTGTAAACTTGCAAAATGTACGATTGTCTATGTAATTTTTTAAAAGATATAATTAATATAATTATTTTCAACCTTTGCTT